TATACATATATATTCTCACTTCATTAGGCCATAGTACCCATGTCAAGGAACAACTAAAATATATGTAGAGTTTTATTGAATTTGGATAAGTGGATTTTTTTTAATAAGCATGTCTTTAAATGAAACAGGATGTTCATCCCTAATTCTATCCTCACTGAAGAACCTCAAGGAAAGATGGTCTAAAACATCCCTCAACTTTGTATTCTATCATAGATCTGCCACTTATCCTATTTTCTCCTCAACTCTCCCAAAAGTCCTTATGCAATGTTTTTACATCTTGTGAGAGCCTTTGTTCATTTTAATTGTGTAGTATAAGAAGCAGGTTCAGCAACAGATTAGTGAAACCAAGACTACAGGACACTCAGAAGCATCATAGAAGCAAATCTGTAGGACCAAATTATATGTGCACTGATCTTTTGAAGATTTTGTTTAAAAAGGCAGAGAGGGGAGAAGATTTAAGACCTGGAACAGAAAGGGGATTCTGGTTTGTTTTAGTTATTTTCAAAGTTGAGTAATCTAGCTTGGTGTTAATTTGTAGCTGGACATTCCTACTCTTTGCATTTATTGTAATCATTGCAATGCTTTGTGAACACTAAAAAGGCTCTTTCCCCTTCTGTAGGTGGGCAGTGTTTTGTAATGGGCCAACAGCATGTATGTCGCTGCCGTCCAGGCTTCTCTGGTCAGACATGTGAGATATACATCAGCAGATGTTCAAGAAATCCCTGTTCCCATGGAGGATCATGTCAAGATCTTGATGCTACCCATGATTACAAATGTACTTGCTTGCCAGGCTTCACTGGCAGAAATTGTGAAATTAGAACTAGAGATGGTTGTTCTTCTGGACCGTGCCAAAATGGGGGGACGTGCTACAGTGGGCTCTACACTAAAAGCTTTGCTTGCCACTGTACTTCTGGCTTCCTGGGCATCCACTGTGAATTTGCAGTGAATCCTGTGACCATCATTCCACCGCTTCCTAAGCCAGTTCCCTGGGTGGCTATATCCATGGGAGTTGGGTTAGTAGCTCTCCTCATCCTGTGCTGCATGATAGCCATAGTTATCCGACAGATGCAGAGACACCCAGAGCAAAATTCAGAAACGATGAACAACGTGTCTGACTTCCAGAAGGAAAATCTCATCCCGGCTTCTCAGCTTAAAAACACCAATAAAAATAAAGACCTTGAAATTGATTGCGTACTGGAGAAATCAAACTACAAACTTAAAAACCATACATTGGATTATAACCTGGTGAAGGAGCTGACAAATAGAGGGGCTCAGGAAGATAAATACCATAAAAGTGAAAAGTGTATAGGAGAGAAATCGCCCTTCTGGCTATGCAGGTATGAAATTTCCCTTTAGAAGATGAATTTATTTGCACTGTTGAAACTATGAAGAATAAAGGTTGTGTTTTAGTATAAAATTCTCAGAAAGAAGCAAATGAGTCTGAAAGTATAGATGAAAATGACTTTGATATTTTTAATTTTCTTGTATACTAATTAATATACTTATTCTTCATTATTACAAAAAAAATTAATTGGCGAAGTTTTGAAAATACTTTATTGTTCTAATTAGAACAAGAAATAATTCCAACATAAGAAAATATTCTATATAAGTTTGAATCCTATATATTGTTTTTTAAATACCCTATTTCTTTTTCTATACCCTCTTCCCATCTTTGTTTAAGCTGGCATAAAGGCATTACTGTAGCCCATCTTAGATTGGATATGATATTGCTGTGAATAAGAATTCATTAATTCCCCGGATCATAGCAGAACTAAAATAAAAATAAGGGATGATGTATTCATTTCACAAAAACACTCTCCTCCCTGTCCTTCAGTGCAGATAAATGGCTGGACTTGATTTTATGATAGTTTTTATGTTCATAAAGTGAGTCACTTGGTCATTCAGTAAATCATGTGATTATTAAGCGAATCATGTGGTCATTTAGTGAATCCAGTATATGCACTGGGTATTTTTTTGCTATTTTCTGCTGAAAAATGGTAAAAAAACATTGCAAATCTAAGTCACATGACACGGGATCTTGTATTGGTCATAAATATGACCTGAGTGCCAAGCGCCCAAAATGTGAATACAGTGATCACAGAGTTATGCACGGCAATTGTAACTTTGAGGATGGGGTGTAAGTAGCTTTTCTGAGGTCTAGTATAACTTCAGTCATTAAGCCAACTGCCATAAGTCGAGGACTACCTGTACTGAAAACAAATTTGGTGAAATCCTATCCTCTTTTTAACACTGAAGTGAGATTAATCTATTTTTCAGAGTAATAATATGAACAATCGGAACAGTTTAAACAGAAGTTTTCCATATTACAAGAGTTCCTGAAATCTACATTCTGTGTCATTAGTCCTTCAACAGATTTCTGTAATTTGAGTCAGGCTACAGTATATCACATGTTTTAAAAAATGCAGTGTTTTCCTTTCAATTAGTTTTTTGCAGTCACTGTTTTGGGTATGAAAGGTAAACTCAAGGACATTCACTGATGAGTAGTTACTCCTTATTCTAATTGATCTTGTGTTTCGAAAAGAGAAACAAGTTTTAGTTTTTCTCAAGCGTGTCCAAGTTCACAGCTATTAATTTGTCAAATATAATGTGTGTGTTGATAGAAACCATAAGTACCATTATGTGTGTGTTGATAGAAACCATAAGTACCATTAGTTTCCACTGCACAGACATGAAAAAGAATAAACCTAGAATGTGTGGTGAACTGGTTGCTCTTATTATCTGCTGACTCTCATGCCAGTGCCTTTTTTCTTTCAACCACAACTTTCCTACAATATCCTTTTTTCACATCTTGCAGTATAAAGCTTTGACATTGGTTCTGAATTTTCACCTTGTATTTTATCTTATTTTCAACAGTGAAAAGCCAGAATGTAGAATATCAGCAATATGTTCTCCAAGGGATTCAATGTACCAGTCTGTTTTTGTAATAACAGAAGAGCGGAATGAATGTATTATAGCTACAGAGGTATGTATATTGCCTACAGAAATGTGATCTTTGCTCTGAATAATGTTCAGTAATGTGACATTCAGAAAGAAAGGAGAGCAATGCAACTTGGTATTTTCAACATAGACAGGCGTATACATGTGACAAACTACATAGAATGTTACAAAAAGTAGAATTTTTAAAATATTGCTTATGATCACCCCAATAAACTATTCAATGAAATATTAAATTCAAATTCTGTGATCATAGAGTATTTTTTTCACATTCCTCTGTGGGATCCTGTAATCCATGAAAAGTTGGGAATAGTAATTGGGGGATCTTCGGAATGGCAAGGGATATGACCCAAGAGGGCCAGAGCACAAAGAGGAAATTGGGGGAAACCAGGAAACCTTGTGTGAGCAGAACTAACTTTCTGTTACACAACACCATCTTTGAATCTAAGGTTATAAATCAGAGCATAGATAGTAAGGACACAAGAATTCAACAAATTAAATTACGGACTATGTAAGGCTTAAATTGAGAGTTACGTGGGTAAAGGTTGAACTTACAAATCATAAAGATCCTCCCCCTGTGACTAAACTATTTAAGTCAACAATTGTTATATATATGCTTAATTTTACTTTTATATTGGGTTAATTGAAATGTCTATTTCTCTCTCTCTTCTATGTTTATGGCAGGTATAAGAGTGAAGGCTGCTCTGTTTGCACCTCAGTTCTAGAATTCTAGAGATGCCACGAAGTGGACATTCCTACTACATTGTTTACAATTCAAAATTGGATTGGACTTAGTTTTTTTTTTTAATTATATGCAATTTGCTGCTCTCAGGAGGAGGAGTGGATGAAAGTGGGTGAACTGGACAGACTGTGAATTTAAAAGATGCAATATACCTTTTTACCCCCTGTTTCCTTATTTTGAAGTCTAATAGGAGGAATGTAACTGACTACTAGCAGGGGAGAGATGAAGATGTCTCTTACTAGCCTTTGAAATGACATGCCAGTTGCTCATGGACAGTTGTATGACTTTCCAGAATTTAAGTCTTGAAAGGTGCCTGTCAGTTTAAAGGCCCTTGACATTATCACAGAAGAGTTAATCAACGTCACTGTGAGAAGAATGAAGAAACATATTTTTCTATGCAGAAAAGGATACGGAATAAATGTCACCGTTGGTTTTTTTTTTTCTGGATTTGGAAGTGCCTAAAAGCGTGTCTGAGAATCTAGAGAGCCCAAATCAAGACCCATCAGCCTTTTCCCCTCCAGCACCCAAGCAGTATTGTCCGGGAGTGGCCCTCAGCCATTCCTGTTGCTCCTGTATTTAACCCCTCCTTTCCCCCCTCTCCCATTTATTACTTACAGACAACTTAAGGAACATGGCTACTGAACTGGCATTTTGCCTCCTTGGATACTGCTTTGGCGAACTGAGCAGTAACTGGGATTAGTTCTTTTGGTGAATCACAGCGACCTCCCCAGACATAATCTGACCCGAGAGAGAATGATGACTTTCCTCTTTTATAAGAGGAAACTGAAACCCAGGGCTCCCTGAAAGCCTTATAAGTGCGTTTAAAATCAATCAGCTGTTTTCACGACCTTTGCACTACTAGTCACCATAAACAGAAGTTGTTGTTTTTTGTGTTACATGTATCAGGAGAGGTTTGGATTTTCTCTTAGAGATCTCCATCTGGTGCCACCCTTTCAGCTGCAGATAATCTGGAAGATTGCACCATGACTTTTTTTTTTTTTTACAGGCAGCCAAGTGTTTATGATACTGCCTTTCTATTACTTGCTGCAGAAACTCCCACGCTGATTTAAGTTGAATTTTTTTTTCTAAACACCTGACAAAGACTAAGCTACAAAGGGGGACTTTGGTGGAAATCCATTATGTGGCGAGGGGGAACTATAAAGCCCTTAGTTTGCTCTGTTTGTTTCTTTCCTCACTTTGCTACAAAGAAAGGAGTATCCTTAAGTTTTTGAATCCAAAGGAGCAGTTCTGAACTGGAAATTCAGAACTGACATAGACTCTGTTGTACATTTACAGCAATAATAATAGACATTTCAGATAGGAAGTGCTGTTCATAGCGATAAACAAGTACTGTGGGAAAGAGAATATGGCGGAAGCAGAGAGAGGAAGCAAATTTTCATTCAAGGAAGTTGGGATCGTGTTTTCTGTGATGGAAGAGCAATGTTCCTGACCTTGAAAATCTCAGGCTGGATTAATCCATCTCCAGCCTTGAACTGTGCAATCAAATTCTTGCTTGGCATGTTCACTACTGACATTTTGGTCTGACCACACAAGGCCATTGTGAAGAGGAGCTTCAGAAATCAATAATATGGTTTATATTAGTGTCTGTCTGTAGTTTATTTTGAAGCCTAGCATTTCAGTAATTTAAAGTAAAAATCAGAAGCACTGAACTTTCTACATTTTGTAACATTATTTTGTATATAATGTATATTTATAATCAGAAACAGAAGTGTAAATATGTTTATTACATATGTCATGTTTTTATGTGATGACAAAAGTTTGAATTTTATTTTTTTTTCAAATAATGAAGATACCTTCTTGCTACTGCAAACTTTCAGTGTGGTTTCTTGTGCTATAATTTGGATTCATGACCTTGCAGTGTTTACAGGATCACTCACAGCAAAGTTTGTAAGATATTAGAAATTTATTATTGCTAGTAATTAGTAAATGAACTCAATATGTGATTTGAGTTACAGAACATCCCATTTGATATAAAGTTTAACCTGGAAATATAATATATTAAAAAAACAAGAATCCCTTACAATATGAATAAAATCTTCCCCTATATAGTTTTTGCTAGAAATAGTAACGGGAAAGGTCTCCAAGTCGTTCGTAAAAACACACTTCAAATTTATATTCTATTAACAAATTCAAGTTCTTTAACTGATTTTCTTGCTTTTCTCTACTGTAACTAGAAATCATGTACTTATGTTAACATCTATTCTAAAATAGATTTAAAACGGGAGCAAGTAGCAGTTATTTTTATAAGAATAAGAAACATAACATAAGATAATTACTTTTTACATTGTTTTCTGCATTGATTCTGTATATCTGGTTGCTGTTTATCTGAGAGTGTTTCCAGATTGCTGTTTCCACCAACACAAATAGTATATTGGCAAAAATTACAATTCCAGAAGAGTAGCCATATTCATCTGTGACAGCAACAAGGACAAAATCTACAACTGATTGGTTTTTAGAAAGAGTCATCAGACTCCTGTTTGCCAGGAGAGTAGAGATTTTAGTGTTACCATTGCTAGGTTTGCTCTATGGTATCCATGCTACAATATTGGGGCATTTATTTTGACAGCAGCAAAACAACCAACTGAAAACTTTGATTAATTTGCCATGGCAAAGTTCTGTCAAGCTAAAAAGTTCAAATATCAATCTTAAAATGTGAGTCAGATTTGCTAAGCTTGTTAAAACATTCAGTTCTAAAGTTATGGAAGTGAAGAAAGAGAACAAACAAGTTCTAAGTGCTATCAGCTTGAACTGCAGCCCGTTATCAGGAATATATAGATTTAAGCCCACGGAATTAGCATAACTAATTTATAAACTGTATTTTTAAGGCAATAATGCAAATGTTCTTGCTTTATCTTTTTTTTAATGGCAGCCGTAATAACAAAATTGCAAAGGATCTTTTTAACTTGCCCTTGTTTTAATTATATGCAATTTTGTTTACCTTTTAAAACATTACGCATGTGTGCTTTCCTGTTTAATTCTTTTCTTAAGAAAATCAATTGAAAATCCTAATCAGTCTCCTTGACAACCATTTGAGGCAAACAATCATCAAGATGGAACTCAGAAATAAATAGAACCCTCCTGTCCCTAAACATTTGTCTTGTAGAACAAATTATGAAAAACCATTGACAAAAAGCAGAGCAGATGCCCCTGATTTGCAGCTTTTTCTTGGCAATGAGAAATAAACTCAACAGATGCTTCTCTTAATTGAACTCATGGATTATACACATGTACAAGCACATAAATGCAGAGTTGTTCTTCAAACAAAAAAACAAGACAAACAGGAAAAGAGTCGGGGGAAATCTTCCCACAGCTTCAAAAAGACAGTAGTGGGATTTAAACATGGCTTTGGGATTTCAGGAGGAAGAATGATATGAAACAGTGAATTCTGAAATTTACATGCGCCAAAGCCTGCAAAAATTATTTGTGGGTAGTTATTATATTATTAAACATGTTTTTGTGCATAGTTCTACCCAAAAAAATCAAAAGAAGAGCATCACGCACATTAAGAACTATAAACGGTACAAAATTCAAGATGAAAACCTTACTTAAATCTGGGCTCATTTCCTCCAAGTAGATTCTCACTGGCTTATTCTATCAATTTGAGTGGGGATGTAGTTGGTACTTTGGCCCTGTAGTTGAGGCAGTAGATCCCGCAAATGAGAGTTTCTCTGGGACGCTCCTGGCCCTCATGATTAAACAATTCCCCTGAGGTCTAGATGCACTTATGCTTACCATCCTCAGAAAAAAAACATTACAACTTGGCTTTTCCAGCCGTCTTTCAGAAGCTGGATATCCTATCCTTTTCATTAGCAATTTAAGCCCACTGCATTCAGAAATTTAATCTTTATTTTTAAATTGTTATATCAGGGGATTTGAACGTTGTTTTCATTTATTACATCTGTGAACCACCCACAGTTTTCATAATATTGTAATGCAGTATATAAAAGGGGGAAATAAACAAGCTCCAGATAGCATTGGTTTCCAACAGGATCACGTGAGAATTGGAACATGCATGTATAAATCTGATTGTGAAACATATTCAGACTTCACTCCAAAGTTCTGATGAAGTACAAACTTAAATGACACACTTTGGAAATTTTATAGTAGTCCTTGAAGGAGGAAAAAGGTAATTTTTGAATTATTTAGTATAGTATCAGTATTCAGATGAGTGATATATAGTCACAAATTTTTAGAAATGATGAATCATATACAGAAAATAGAAATTCTTTTTAAACTATAATAAGAAAGATTCAGATCCAGCCTACCTGAATATCATACACGTGGACCTTATTATTTCTAAACTCATGAATAAGCCCCTTAATTATGAAACTTTTATTATATAATTCTTGCAAGATAACTTGTATGATAAAATATATTTTGGGCTTCCTGACTAGACCATTAAAAAATTTTAAAATGATGTCAATAAGTTTGTATAAGAAACTATCTCTGACCCCAAAATATAAGCTCTGTAGAAATAATATTTGAAATAAATATTTTTTTAAATTGGTCATCAGTCTCCTTAAAACATGCATCTATACAGCAGATATTGGAGATTGCCTAACAAAAATGTGTTAAAATTCATAAAGGTACCTCACTCCTAATTCAAGCCCTTGTCCTCAAGATGCCTTGTCACTGTATTTGCTTGTCACACACATTTTTTTTCATGCAGTTTTTCTAACTTCTTCAGAGGATCAGAGGTAGGGCAGTATATTTCCCTCAAAACGTTTTGCTATTGCCCAAAGAGTTCTTAGTTTATTCAGCCACAACCATTTGTAAAGGAGGATGGCAAAAAAGGTGTGTTTTTTCATGATGAGGACTTGTATCTTCATCCTTTAGTTTACTCTCCAAACTGACTTGCTTTGCAATCTGGGTCATTGCTTCACTTCTTCCTGATCTGGTATTTTTTATTTTTCTTCTTGGCTATATAGTGTAAAGTTCAGGG